GTACTGGGGCTAGAGAGGTGGTTCAGTGGTTAAGTGATTAAAAGCACTGGCTGCTCTTGCAGAGGACCCAGGTGTTCGGTTCTCAGAACCTACATGGCAGCTAGCAACCATCCAGTTCTAGTTCCCTCTTCTGACCACCTTGAGCACTGCATGACACAGGTGTACTTACCTACATACAGGCAATACACACATACACATAAAATAAAAATAATAAATAAAATTTTTTTTAAAGTCTCAATCTTTCTAAATGAAATCTTTTGATAATGATCATATTCCTCTCTTTTAAAGAAAGGAAAACTGAACGAGTTAGGTACCTTCTCTGAGTTCACAAAAGTGGAGCTGTAATTCACGACTACGTATCTGACCCTCAACTGAAAACTCTCTTTTCTCGACATTTTGCACTAAAATTCAGTTAAACAATGGAAAAGGTTCAGTTTAGCAGTGGTTCATGGGGAAACGTGTGGAAAGCTTTGTTTGCCCATGAATACCTTGTGAGTCATCCAGGTGAATCACTGAGATCCCCAAATGAACGCAATCTTAGGTGTACAACAGTACCCAGATCAAAGGTGTTCAAGAATCACACCATGTCATACCATGAATGAAATGCCATGCTTTGCTCTGGAACACTGATCCTAAGAGAGCACTGTCACTGTGAACAAGCCCAAGATGATTTGCTCAGAATAGTCTGTGCACGTCATGAAAAATAAGTTGCAGAAACGGCAACACAGAAAACATGCTACCTTTAGTTAGCATTGTTAATGCACACTGTGGACCAGACGCTATCCTGTCACTTATTCTCATGACTCAGACACTGTTATCGTTACCTCTGTCTTACTGAAAAGGAAAGTGAGGCATTAAGGGATCATATAGCATTTCCCAAAGTCTAAGGCAAACACTGAAAGTCTAGCTCTTCTTTTCAATTTGAACAGATAATTAGAACATGAATTATGTGCTGTGATAGTTTTAATTGTCAGTTTGACACATTGTAGCATCATCTGGGAAGAGAGTCTCAATGAGGGACTACCTAGATCAGACTGGACTATCTAGAATCAGGTGGGCCTGTAAGTGTGTCTGTGGTGGACTGTCTTGATTACATTGATTGGTTTGGGAAGACCCAACCTAAAATAAATAGCACCATTCTCTTGGTTTGGGTTCTGGACTGTATAAGAATTGAGAAAGTAAACCGAACACAAGCATTCAAGCCTTCATTCCCTCTCTGCTTTTGACAATGGATGTGACTAGCTGTTTCTGGTTCCTGCTGCCTTTACCTCCCCACAATGATGGCATTTTGAGCCAAGTAAACCCTTCACTATTCTAAATTCTTTTAGTCAGGGTATTGTATGATAGCAACATAAAAGGAACTGGGATGCATCTACTATTTGGCTGCAGATGGAAAGATACAAGCAGAGAAGGTGCCATTGGAATAAAACCTGACTCCATCACAGACAGCTAATCATTTAGATTACTGGAAGGATGATGCTATGTTCTTTACCACTGGATGCTTTTAGTTGGGCATGCTTTTGGAGGGGTTCTATAGTGTGGGAAGAGGCTAGATAAAATGACTTACATATTTCCTCTCTACTCCATCAGCCTATCAATGTCAGTGACAGCATCTATCCTCTTGAAATACAGAACTACATGTAGAAAAGTTTAGATGAATTGAAACTTGATTTCATGAACCCTGCCAAGTTGATCAAAATGTATTCCTGATATATGCTATTCAAATTTAGAGGTGATTCTTCAAATGCGTTCATCCCTCCATCCATAGGTATGTAATATGTCCAAACAGCCAAGTTTTATTGAACCCCCTACTGTATGTCATCTCGTATTTGATTCCACTTTGTTAGCTTCATATAATGATAAGAAAATTCAGGCTCGGAAATATAAGTGATCTGCCCACGTGTCCCGGTTAGGAAGGTCCAAGGAGAGGGCCTGGGATGTTGGCTTGTTGAAGCGTGTTTTCTTTAGTGTACTCTGCTCTTTCCCCAAGAACTCCAAGGACTTCAAAAGTGGTTTTAATTAAAAGGGCTTTGGTTGTGTTTTGTGTGAAATTGGCTCAACAAACATTGCTGAGCACTCCTTATCTTGTCTTGGAGGGTTCAGTGTTGAGTGAAGAGACGGACCTGAAAGAAAGCCATTGTAACCAAGAGATTGCCTAGAATGTGCATTCCTCACACTTTCCTGTTAACTAGCATCTTACAGTTATCAATTACCAAATTTTCTCAATAAATGTTTCGGCATTAACTCTGTACCAAGTATGATGCCAGGAGTGTGGGAACACAGAGAAAGCATCCAATGTAAATTTTGCTCTCAGAGGTCACCATTAGCTTGGATGCAAAAGGTCACTGCACCATTTGTACATAAGTACCACATGGGGAAAATTTAAAGAATCTGGTACATAGGCCTCTACCCAAGGCCACTTCATTCGGGGCTCTGGAGGCGAATAGGGCCCAAACAATATTATAGATATAATATTTTATTTATACACACATATTTATGTTATTCCTCAGTAGAATATTTATAGCTGTAGTCTCGTTATACTTTTCATGTAATTTAATGTAACTAATTCACTTTTGTCATTCAATCCGCTAGTAATGTGCAATCAGAAATTGGGAAGTGGCAAACTCTTGGCAACGCCGGCTAGAACTAATAGACAAGCTCTTAATTACCTAAAGAAGTCCAGTAATTTCATCTTACTGAAGGAATTACAGTCAGCTCTTCACTGATCCACAGGCCGCTTCTCTGCAGTTAAGTTAGTAAGAGACATTCACTGTTTATTTGTAACCTCTACCACACACACACACACACACACACACACGCACACATACAAACACATATACACACATGCACACACATACACACATATATACACACATATGCAGACACATCCACCTATACACACATACGCAAACACACACAAACACACACCCTCAGGATGACTTATTTTGAAATAGTGACTTTAAGACTTCATGACATTTAAACAGTCTTTCCAGAGGGAACAATATTCCCTAACAGCAGAAGCTCCATAGATCGCTGAGGTGGCTGTGAGAGTCCACATGTGCTCTGTGGGTTGTGGTTTATGATAACTCTTTGGACCTCAGATTCTTCATATGGCAGATGAATCAGTGGCTCTCTACATTAAGCTTATGTAGCATGGTTCTGTGACTCACTTTCTTTGCAGACCCAGCCAAGTTAAGAATGCTCTTTATTTACCCAACAGATTAAACTCTTCAAAATCCTAAGAGATAGAAGGAAGTGGTTGAAGACAGCAAAGTGGTTGTGTTGTCATTCGTCACCCTCCACTTCCTGTACCCAGAAGCTGGGTGCACAGCTGCTGAGAGAACAGTGATACGTCCGAGTCTCGGGACTTTTGGAAACAGATTCTGAAACTTCAGTTGTGCTGTTGATGAGCAAAGGGGCCAGATTTTTTTTTTTGTGGCATATGGACAAGAAAAGAGGAAAATAATGTATCTGCTTTGACATATCAGAACTAACCACAAAATGAATGGGCCTACAATCTAGTCTAATCATGCTTCTGTTTATTCAGCTCATATAAAAGTCTCTTAAGAATGCATTTGAGCACAATATATAACAGTAATAATATTATAACATACATTGTGAGAAACTTTTGAAAACAATATAATTTCTACCTGAAACAATGCAGTGTTTCATAGACATACAAACCCACTGGTCATGCACATTTGTGCCATTTTCTTTAGTATTGAGTCACAATGCTGAACCTAAGCATGAAATGTATTTTACAAACTGAAACTGATGCCAGGAAGAGGCCTAACAAGTGTTATCAGAGTCTTCACATTTGCATAATTTACTACATCAGTTCACATTCTATGACAAAAATTCACATTGTTTTATTGTCTCCTTTGAATTTGAACATGACCTTCCTGCTTGTAAGCAGGCTGGAGCCAGTAATCTGGGGACACTCAGCATCTCTGTGAGCAAATGTAGTGTTGTGTTTAGAATGAAAGCCACAATTAGAGCAGAACCCAGTTACAACCCAGCTCATGCATACACAGACTTGGATAGAACACGGGCTGAAAATCCCGTCCTAGTGCCCCCTACCCCTATCAAACTAAACAAAATAAAAGTTCAATATAAACCATTTCATATGTAATGTGAGAATCCTGTTTGTAAAACCGGCTCATAAAGGGGTTGTACAGAACAAGTGACTCAGACAAGTAAAGGGCAGACCCATGGAACAAAGGCCCATTCCTGTCCTCACTGTTAATGAGGCTGCATGTCTTTCCTAAACGATGTTCAGGTTATATAATGCACAATACAAAACATTACAAGAAAACGTCGTAACTCTTAGGCAGAGTTTTCTACACAAATTAACACCACCATTGGCAGGCAATGTTAGATATATAAATTAATAACTTACAAAACATTACAATATGTACATTAAGTAATAAATACATGGTTATAAACAGGAATAGAGGGAGGGGTTAGTGCAGAAAGGCAGTGCGAGAGAAAGACGGCAGCATTAAATTGAAGGGAGCGTAACCGAGATAAGGGAGGTGGGAGGGAATGGGCAGCCGTGGGTCGTGAGAAACTCCCAGTGGCATGGGGCTGGGTCACAGCGGAGCACACTGCCTCGTGCCCCTGAGCACTACGTAGACGGAGGGCAAGCAACACAGCTTCCCCTCCAGCCCTCCTGCCTTGTTCAACTTTATTATGCTTAAAGCAAAGCAGGGAAATTTCAGAGGGAGAAGTAGTACTCCGAGCAGGCAAACATCTAAGCTGCAGGGCCACCGTAGAGCGGTACCGAACGAGGGGAAGGAAACAGCATGTGGCTGGAAGTCTGTCTGTCCTGTCTGTTTGCAAAAGTTAACTGGAGTAAAGCCAAAGAAATTGCCCAAGGAAGAAGGGAGACTGTTTTCTTTCCTCCCCCCCCCACCCGAGAAAGACTCAAAAAAGTTTGTGTCAAATTTAAACACTTATCTGTGTAGAAGTTGGTACTAAACTCTAGATATTCAACAGGCATTTTAAAGACATGAAAATGTTTTACAAAAAAGGCACACAGGTTGGCAGACAAAGGGACAGGTGAGCAGAGTTGTAAATGAAGTTATCGGTGAGTTCCATCACTCCTTGGGACAGTGTCCCGAAACTTAGTGCAGAGAAATCTCTCAGTTTTGTGTCTTCTGTTTTCAAGTCATTTAATTGTGATGGGAACTGGCCCCTACCACCACATAAAGCTTCAGTTCTCCGCCAAGCTTGCAAGCAAGGCAAGGCAAGTCAGCCACGGAACTTCTTGAACTGCTCTTTGCTTCATGGCCTTGCATTCTGGCTCCAAACTCAAGTAACTGGAAAGGCCAGATGGCCTTTGTCCTGTGCAGGCCTTGGCCGTGACAGGCAGGCCCTACCACTCAGCTGGCATGCTTGTCAAAGGTAGAATGTCCATCTCCACACAGGGGGAGATTATGTGTCAATTGGGGATTTGTCCTCTGTTGCAATGTCTATGTCAGTCTCTCCCAGAGAATCCCTATTTTCGGGATCGATCACACAAAGTGTCTTTGTGCTGCTGAAATAGCTGTGGCCCTCTCCCTCTTTTTCTGCTCCTTCAGAATCTTCCTCTTCAAGGGTCAGTTCAAATTGAAACTTCTCCATGAGACCCTGGCAGTCTCTGTTCCTCTCATCCAGTGGTGGGGAGGGACTTTGGGGTATCATGCTCTGATACCAGTTCCTGTTATCTTCTAATGTGTCCAGAATATCTTGAGCATCAGGTTGAACCAGGTCTGCCCAGGTTTCCCACAGTGGATGCACGATGTAGTCAATGAAACCAACCTGTAGTCAATAAAACCACACATCTGTTACCACGTGGGCCTTTGGAAACCAAGCACATTGTCCTTATTTCTGTGCAAAGACAGTGGACTCACTCAAGGAGATCAATAGTAATAGATTCTTTTACTTGGGTGCTTACTTGTATGGTAGTCCCTACACTGTATATGAGAAGTAAGAACTCTCTCAATCCTGCAAAGTATTGCTGTCTGCTGTTTACAAAAGAGGAAACTAAGACTCACAGAGAGTAAACATGCTACAGGGTAAGAGGCCTCATAACTAGTAATTGGTAGATGTGGTACTTGGTGCCCGCTTGGGTTCCAAGGCCTGTGTTTATCTCACTGCAACATGCTGCCTTTCTTTTCACTTGTGCCAGGTGAGTCCGGATGTGACTGGGAGTGGCTTGGTCACTACTTGGTTTCTATGAGTCATTTGCTCAAGGAAGGCCCAGATCTAAAGTGTTCTGACTCAAAATTCTTTTCCTGATCCCATTAAAATATGCTGTCATGCCAAACTGACAGGAGCCAGTCCTCTACTGCTCTGGAGCTTCTCAAGTCTTTGGCTGGTAGAGGGGTTTGATTAGAAAAAAAAAAAATCAGTTGAGAATAATGCAAACACTAAACAAACAAACGTGCACATGGCTGCTATTGTTTGGGACCCAGAGTGCACACACAGTCATTTCCATCAGAAGAAAGAAGGAAAATAAAAACAATTAAGCAATTCCTTTTGCTGGTGTGCCTGTGCATAAATCCAAGGTTGTGGCTTTGTTATGGTTTACACATAACAGGGGCTGTGCATCCTGTAGGAGCTAGCTACATGGCCGTAGGCTGACCTCTACACTGTCAGACAAACAGGAAACATTGGGGGTGGAGGCAGGTAGAGAGATAATAGGCACCAAAGAAGGAGGGAATGGAATTCCCCTGTCATGGTCTGGGAGACTGGAGAGATGCTGAGCCGGGGAAGGGTGGGATGAGCCTGGACCCCTGTGGGACATTACATCTTTCCACTCCACTGGAAACCCTCCTGTATCAACATTCTGCTATAGTCAGTTGTTTGTTATATTGAAATTGTACACACAAGAACCATGATCAGATATGAGTCTTTTGTGTGGGGTGGGGAGGGGAGGTGGTACGTTATTTTTAATGGTTTTTCCTAGTGGACTAAACAAGACTCAGGGCATCTCTGCTCTGCATTGGTTATTAGAGTTTGACTGAGTGATTTGATATTTCTCATTTCTACCCAGTCCTTGTCCTTACTTCTTTCAGTTTCATAGATTTTAAAGCTATTTCCAAAGTGTTTTCCAGGGACTAGAAATAAGCAAGCTCACGGCAATGGACAGCGCTGAGACAGGAAGACACAGTGCAGTCATTTCCTTCCTGAGTTTGCTTAGGACTTTTGTGAGAGGCAGTCACTAGCTGCTTACTTCCTAGGTCATGAGATACAAGAACTCAAAAGTTTTCTTTCCAACTCAAGCATACAGTATTCAACCGAGCCCTGGGGAAAACACTAAAGTGAATAATGACACGATACGATGATGTCATGGAAGTTGGGGAGACCTGTCCAGATGATGGAGAGAACAGCTGGGTCACTAAGAGGTTGACAAATTACATCCAATTCTCCTGACATCAGGGAAACACCTGCTGTGTCTACCTTGCAAAACTGTTTAAGGTTTCAAATATGATAGGATAGTGTATAGAAAGCCATATAAAACATAAAACAAAAAGTCACAATTAAAATGTATATTCTTTGTGATAAAGACTTTAGATATTCTGTGAGCCCATTAATAAAGACACCTGGCTAAGCCCATTGTCCTGAATAAAGACCTCTGAAGCCTTTGCAGGGACACTGATTCTTTCAAGTGCTGACTCTTTATAGTTATTAGTGTCTGGGGCATTTCTGCACACTCACCACCACTACCACCACCACCACCACCACATCGGTGTATTGCTTCCTAGTCTCAGAACACAAAAAATTTGTATGTTTGGATACAAAGGCATAAAAGTGCCCAGGAAGGGGACATAGATGGGGCTCTTGGTCATTTCTGGTGATGGTGGCAATATGTTTGATTAAGGAGGGATGAGAACAGTAGAGTCCTGGAGCACAGAGTGGACTGCTAGATGAAGAAGAAGCTAGGCGAAATCTACACAGTAGGATGGAGGGGACAGGGCACTTGTGTGTCCTTGAATCTGATAAGGTCATAGGCAACGTCCAAATGCTTTGTGGTTTCAAAGCCTTAAGTTTCCTTAACCTCCTACCCTGTATAATCATGCACAAGGAAAGGATAATGTTTGTCATTTCATATATTGTATCCTCTCTCTCTCTCTCTCTCTCTCTCTGGAGAGAAAGGAATTATATAGAACTCTACAGTTCTACCATCAGTAGCTCGTAGAAACATTGAAAAATCTCAGTTGTAGATACCTGGGATTTTTCCACAGAAGCAGTGTGTTTATCACACATTGGGCTAATCTCCATTCCCCTCTCCCGTTCTTTGTCTCCCTGTTGAAAGAATTCCTCCATGATGCGATCGGTCCATTGCCGATACAGTTCCAAGGACTTAGTGGGGTTGCTCAGGTCTGCACAGTGTACCATGTTGCGAAGGACCTGGAATAATCAAGTTTTGGAAATCCCATAAAATTAAGTGTAAACACCACAAGAACATCTTATCCCTCGTATCCCAGTACACTTCGTACAGAACCCAAGAACATTTCAGTTGAATGTAATTATGATACCCCACCAAGAAAGTGCATTTCAATTGTGCTGGGTAGGATTGGTGCTTTAACATTATTGAGTCCAAAAAAGGGAGTGCGTATGTTTTGTTTCGCTTTTTAAGACTGACAGTCTTTGAGTTTAAAAACTGGAAGGGCTGTTAGAAGTCAAATGCTGCTACAATTTCTTTCCTTGACTTGGAAAAATGCAAAGAATTACTGAGAGTAGATGCTGCGAGATCTTCCATGTGTGGAAGGAGACCAGCTGATGGAAATTTGTTTAGCTAAAACAGGCCTAACAAACTTCTAGTTCGTGGGATTGAGACTCAAATATGAGCTTTGGGGAGCAAATAGTCACCTATGTCTTATTACAAATAGACATTGCAACTAATTTTTAGGACTAAGCAATGGAATGAATACAGTTGTTTCCCTCATAAATGAGACGATAAACCATACGTTCGAAGCTTGGTTTGAAAGGAACCCTAGGTCATGCAACTAACCAACTTTACACTTCCTTGTGGTAAATGCTGTTTGTTTTCGTTTGGTGACTTTGTTAGACAGATACCTGTATCCGATCAGTATAGTTGTCCAGGAGGAGAACACCCGAGCTTGTCACCTTTTTGGTTTCCACCATCGTTTTCAGGTCTGCTAGCAGGCTCATGTGTTTGGACATATCAGTTGCTAACACCTTGGGTAAAGGCAAATTGAAAACTCTTCATCAATTCAGTCTCTAAGCGGGAATGGCAAAGGTAAGTGAAAAAGGCAGAGGCTGCAGTCGTACCATGTCAATCACCATTTTCCTGAGGGTCTGACGCTGCTTCTTGGTAAGATTCTGGAAGATGTCACAGTGTTCCTCTTGCAGGAGTTTGAAACCCACAGCAAGGTGGTGGTTTTCCAACACAGACTCATCATTATACATCAAAGCAAGTTCTGAATCTAATAAAGAAAAATGATAATAGAAATTGTATAATAGAAACATTGGCATTATTTCACTGTGAAATTAGATCTTGATCTTGTCCTCTCTCAGTTATTTCAAGAACCACCCTCTGCAGGTCATGTACCTACCAGAAAAGAGTATCAGTTTCTAAGCAAAAACTGAGTGTAGGAGATGTGGCTCCACGAGCTTTCCTTTTCATTAAAATTCACTATCTTAAAGTGCTTTTTTAGGCGAGATGAAGAATTTGACCTTAGATAAACTGTATTTTCATCTCAGCTTGCAATTTCCTTTACGTCTTCACACATTTTGTGTTTTGAAAAAGAACAAGATGAAAATACCACTAAACATTATTGAGTATATTAAGATTTTTTTTCAAACTATAGTCACTTTCATATTCGTTCCCCAACCTCTGGCAATTGTGAGTTTGGATTTTCAAAAATGATAGTGTGTTGGTAGAAAATCTTATCCTACCCAAATAATATAGCTTTTGGAGATGTCTATAAATATGACAACTAAGCATTATTTTATTAAAAAAACAATCCTGATATTGAATTTTATCTCCTCTGGGTTTCCACCCTAGAAACTTCAACGTCTATGCAGCAATCTGCTTTTTACATTTTTTGTTCAACAGAGCTTTGTATATTAGAACATGGTCATCAAACTCATTAAATCACATTTTATCTTAACCAAGAATGATAGCTTCATGATGGTAATGCATTACTGGTTTCAGGTACTCTCACTTATAGAACATTGCTTTGACAATGTGCTTTACGTCTTCAGAAAAGGTGGGGGGTTGAGGTCATTTAAGGCCCCTTGTTCTGTTAACCCGGTGGTCAAGGGCAGAGATCTGCTGGCATGCTTTATATGTCATAGTGCTATTGGTGGCTACTTTTCTTGTGTGAAACTAACTGGCACCATGCTAAATCAACCGCATAACCCATAACCCATGGAGAGAAGCAGCTGCAACAAATGTATGCTCTTTCAGTAGAACAAGGTGAAAAAATAAAAAAGAAGGCCAGCGTGCTCCAAGTTCAGAGCACTCAGATGTTCTGATAATAAAAGACAACCAAAAGAACTCTTCTGGAAAGTAACTCAGGCAGCATTTCTATAAAACTGTCAGGACTCAATGTCAATCACCATCATAAGAGGATAACCAGTATTATCAGAAGAAAAAGTGCTTCAATTTTCAGCATTGATGTGGAGCTTTAACTGAGACAATGAATGAATTGTCATTAGCATGGAAGCCAGACTTTTTGAGCACGATAAAGGCTCTGAGAATGGCTTGAGATTCTAAGGCTGGACAAACCAGGGTCAGTGTCTTTGCTGCAAACCAGTCCATAAACACGTACAGTTGGAAGGGAATGTGTGGGACTTTTAATGACCCTCTTGAATTGTGAAAACTCATTCCAGTGCTTTTTGGGGAATCTTATTTCTATATGAAGGCTGCCAGGCTCAGATCCAACATCTTTTCCTCACCTCCAGGACAGAAGGACACTTATGGGTTCATATGCTGTGTGAGCTTAGCAGAGGACGGGAAGTCACTAGCACATCCCCTGGCTTGCTTTGTCGAACTAGACAATTCCAAATCTCTGATTCTTTCTTTCCATATTATATTTTCCAAACTTTTGAGTAGTGTTTATAGCTTCTCTCTGACCTTCTCTAAGTTCTCCATGTAGTTCAAACACTGTGTTGACAGAATGGACACAGTATCCAGGAAAGGCCTGAGCAATGTGTGTGGAATGGAAGGATTACCTCATTACTGCCCTTGTTATTACCCATAATGAAAACATTAGGAGGAGAAAACTGCAGTGAATCACACAATGATCTGTTTGGTGATGAACTCACTTGTGTTGATGAGAAACTGATTGGAGACTCCAGGATGATCAACGTCATGGATGGCAGCTGCAAAGATGGCAGCCAGGATCTCCAAGTCTGTGAAGACAGCCTGTGGGCCCAAAACCAGCATGTTAACTCCACAGACAACGTGTCTATTTTACTCATTCGGTTTCATTTCAAGTACTGAATTTCATTCTTGTTGGGAGAGGGATTGTTGACTTATATAATACTTTGGGATGCTGATGTAATAACACACAGACTTTATCAGCACAAAGTCGCCAACGTAAGAAGAGTGATGGCCAGAGCTCATCCTACAATGAGCCCATAGGCTGAGGTTTGGATAGTCATTAACATAATGCTTTTGATGTGTGTGAATATCTGATGTTGGTTTCTTGGATGAAGGATATGACAACACAGTGCTGATGTAATACATGATGCACCAGTCAAAGAAGCAAGTCATACTGGTTCTACCTGGAGACAGAATAATCTGGATATTCAGGCAGTAACTTGGGGTGGGGGGAGGATAAACCTCAGGCTTAGAAAACAGTGATAAATTATTGTCCAAGGCTAAATGTATAGTGTGACTGAAAGCTGTATTCAGTAATTCATTCATTCAATACACATCCACTAAACATTGCTAGGGACAGGATTTGAAAACATGCCAAAGAAATGAAACTTAATGTCTTCTTAGCTCATTCATGGTGTCGTGGAGGCCTCCCTGTGCTCCCCTCCCCTGAGCACAATGATTTGAACCTAGTTGTGTGATGCTGCTGATTTCTAAGTCTCTCTGAAGACTCAGATCAGTTCACTTTCTACCTTTCTCCCAAAGACCAATCCTATTAAGTATAAAACATACTCCTTTTTCTAAACTACTGCAGCACTCATGGCCAACATAGAGACAAACATAGTATTCTGTAACACTAGATAAATAATGGCACCCCATTTTGTGAGCATAAAAACAATATTGTTTTTTCCTTCGAGGGGATAAAATACCCTTAGCTCCATCTCACTTTAGCAAATTGTTAGATTTCTTTTCTTAGAACATACAGAAGCCAAGTGGCAGAGTTTAGAGAGTTTAATCTTTCTTCACCTCCCAAACTGAGTCTGTAAGGTAGCTGGATAGGGCCTGATCAGCCCCTTCCTGCACCAGGCAGCACATTTTGAGAGTACCTGATCACCACTGCCATCTGCCTAGAGGCAGCACAACTGGGCACACTGCTGATTACGCTGGTATATGTGAAAGCACTAATCTGTGGGGAAAAGAGTCATAGCCGTCTTTACAGAAGTTGCAGGAAATACCGTTCCTCAATGTTCCCACACTGTTAATCCATCTGCTCTAGATTCTCAGTTAATATTTCTCCAACCTAGGGAATTCATTTGCTGAATTCCTAGGAAAAAAATGTCAGTTGATGTTTATTCCTAGCAGGAACTATACAAAGCAGTTTATATTGCATACATTATTACATGTGATGTCCTCCACAGGGCCTGGGATGGTATTGGGAAATTCAGATTAGTACATACAATGAGCATGTACTCTATGACAGACAATAAAGAAGACACTTTGAGGTGCATAGTGTCCCTTACTAGGAATATGATGAAGAATAGACCATGGGTTTTGCTCATTGTCTAATGATTAAACAATCTTCAACTGGAAAAGATATAAAGGGAATGTCACTCCGATATTGGAAAGCGAAGAAAGTAGAAATATTATCTGTTTTTTATAAACAACCCAATTGGTGAATCCCATAGCTAATAAAGAACAGGTTCAAGTGCTTGGGGTCATTCCATTACATTATTTTTATAAACATATTGCATATTGCATGATACTTTTAAAGGAGGATGGCTAGGTATGCAAAACATCGTAACTACTTACATCTAATGCCGGTGTAGAAAGAAGCACGTGGGTTGACTGGGCTACATCTGCTGCATGCAGGCTGTTATGATATGCCACATCAGAATGGTAATGGTCTTCCAGAGTCATCATATAGGTTACGAAGGTGTCAGATGAGATTTTAAATGTCTTTAGAAGATCTCTTTCCTGTGTAGTGACATGGGTAAGAAAATGATGTTCAAAAATGGAGGAAGATTAAATGACAAAAATAACCTGAGATGGAAAATATCACAAAGAGCCGTGCCTCTGGCTGGCTACCCAGCATTTGCTTCCACTCTCTCACCTGGAATATGGCATACATGATGCACGTGAGGGGCCGATTGTGTGAGTACCCAGCCACATTGAAAATGTTAAGGCCCCATTTGTTCAGATCTTCTAGCTCCTGCAATCAAAAGTAGAAGAATTTAAGAATAATAATTTCAAAGTGCTTTAAAATGTATTTTTCACGATTTTGGGGGGTGGGGTGGAGCGCGGGGCGTGGTTAGGGAATTGGCTGCCCTAGCCTTTCACACATCTATTTAGAGTGTTCTGGGTTACATAAAAATCTGAGAGTGGTAGGCTCAGGGGCCTGGGTAGCTTTTACACAATTACTACATGTTTCTGCACACATTTATTTCTTTTTTTAGGAGCACTCAAGTGTGTGTGTGCATGTGTGTGTGTGTGTGTGTGTGTGTGTGTGTGTGAGTGTATGTGTGTGTGTGTGTGTGTGTGTGTGTGTGTGTGTGTGTGTGTATAAATTTAGTTGTGGACCTATATTAGTCAAATATCAACCATTGTTGCTTTCAAAGGCAATCTGAGTGAGCAGAGACCACTGGTCCTGTTCACTCCCTCTGTGTCTCCCTCCTTCCTCACTGGCCCATCAGTAACAGCTGCAACATTGTATCAGGGATGCTCCTCTACCCTTTGCTTATCATTCCTGGTGTCAGGTCAGGAAGACTCAACTGCCAGAATGTGTAGGATTCTACTCCAGTTTAACATAAAAACCATGAAGACTTCCCTGTGTGGGCTATTTCTTAGGGCTGATGAGCCACACACAGACATGGAAGGAGCATCATTCAGGCCAACACTGTGGGATTATTCCAAAATTATCTGCTTGGAGGAGTAATTTATTTCATTCTGAACAACTTCCCAGAGGCTGGGCTCAATGTTTAATCAACCCTTTCTCTACTGACAGCTTTCAGAAGGCCTCATAGAAGATTTCTGCTCTCAAGAGGCTCACTTCTTCCTCTCATCAGGCTGCAAGGCCCTCAGCAGTCACTAGGCAGCCTCCCAGATGAATTTTTTTTCTGTGCCTTCCTCCATTACTGGGATTTGAGCCCAGGAATCAGTGATGTCCCTAGCCCTGTCAATCAATGCAGATTTCCTTCCTGGCTGTTGGCATACAGCACCCTCACTCTCCCCTGGGACAATCCAGCCCAGCCTGCCAGATTTCCCTGGGACTTTCTGCGTCCCTTCAGCAGGAGGTTCTATCCATGAGGAGCTCTGCAATACTGAGCCTAAACTCAGGAGAACAGAAAAACCTTTTCATGTGAAAGGACTTCCATGAGGTGCTCCAGCAATGGCCTGGGTTCAGTTTAAACAAGAATATATATATATTAGACCTGTTTTCCTGGTCGTAAAAGTTAACAAGAAAGCGTAAGTGATCCCTCTTCTTTTCTGAATGGTGGATGGGCATATGTGTGCAACAGAGTGCTGCATGCACACGGGATCAGCTCATACACACCTTGGCAAGGTGGTCCTCGTTTTCTGTGTTGACCCCGAAGCGGGAGATGCTTGTGTTGTTCAAGCTTGAGCTGTGCATCAGCTTCTTCACTCCACTGATCTGCGTCATGAGCTGCTGCTTCTTCTTCTTCTCCCTGTCTTTCTGGGTGGGAGACGGGATCTCCACGTCATTCTGCTTGTCTGCAATGGAATAAGGAGCAGGCTTTTGAGCACCTGTGTGTCAATGAGCATACACGGTCATATTCAAAACAACAGGGACCATGTGTAATGGGGTTTGAGTTGTGTGAAAAACCCTGCTGGATCTTCAGATAGTCCTGTGAGATAGGTGGGAAAATATGATTTGTTCCTCCATGTTACAGCCAAAGTAAACTAAGGCAGAGAGGAGCATGTGTAATGTATCTAAGTAGCAGAGGTAATAGAGATAAGCCCCAAGCTCAGTCTTCTGTTCTCAAGGTAACTTATAATTATACTCATATTTTCAAAGTGGAATAGCAATATTTATATAGAGATTTTTTTATTAAAGTGAGTAACATATTTTTATTTAATTAAAAAAAAGTCATTAGCTGGGCATAGTGGCATGGGCCTATAATCCTAGCACTTAAGAGGTAGAGGCAGAAGGATTAGGAGTTCCAAATCATCGGCAGCTACATAATGAATTTGAGGCTAGCCTGGGCCACATGAAACCCTATCTTTAAACAAACAAACAAACAAACAAACACAAAAGGGTCATTAATAAAACACAGACCCAGTTTAACAAAACAAGCTATATTCTGCTTATTTTATTATATTTTCATTCTTCCTCTCAATTAAAAATTCATATGACTTTACCTGGGTTCAGTTTTAACAAGAATATATATGTTAGAAAAATAGATGGTTTAATAACTTTCAAACAATTACTTTTAAGCTTTGGTCTATTATCATTTGAACTTTAGAGGGAGATTATAATTTGTTTCTCTTCTTCATGTTTTGTGATTATTAATTCTGCTAACAAATAACAAGACCTCTCTAACATGTATTTCAGTTCCTAATATGTTTATGCTTATTAACTATTCGTAATCATCTCATTTAATATATTTTTTAAAAATTTATAAGGTAACAGCAGAACAAGCATTAGTAAAAAGAATATCTACTTGCTTCTAGAAACTCCTTCTAGATATACTGCTATTAGCAATTGAACTATTAAGTACTGCCTTTCTCTTTTCAGGGAGGGGTATCCTGAGGGCCTGTGTAGGTGCTATAGCTCTGTCACATGGCAGGGATGCCTGTGGGCATAAAGAGGTCATGATTGATCCCATTGTTTATCTTGAGCCTTCTTTGAACCAGTGACACCTGTGGCTGGAATAGTTAAAGCAGCTCTCAACATGCCCATATCCATCTCTGCTTGTTACATTGCTCATTGTGAAAATGAGCACAGAGACAACTTCTCTGTTTGAAAATGGTATGTTTCCAGATGGCATGCTGTGCTCTAGATTCTTTGCTTCTAGACTCTTGCAGATGATGGCATAGTCACATGTCCTCCCCAGGGTCATCTGCCTGTTTATAATTCCTGTGGACAGTCCATCAAAGAGATGGACTTGCTGTAAGAACAGCAAGGCAGGGCCCCCTTCGTATACATCTTGCCACATGGCTGTCTGGTGTTCTCCATTCCCAACATCCCCAAGTGGTCCTAGGTGCCCACAAGTTTCTAGCCTATGACTTTTGCTTAGGGAAGGGATTTTAGTCATCTCAATTAGTTAGTGGTTTTCAAACAATCTATCATTGAGAAGCACCCAGGAAACTTTTAAAAAACACAGATTTCTGGGCCTCACCCAGCCCTACTAAATCAATATTTTAAAAAGAGATTCGCCTGTGAGCTGGATGACCGGAGTCACACTCATTTTTCATATGAAGTCAGCAACTTACCCAAGCTCAAAGGACAGTTTATTTAACAGACATTCATTCTGCAATTAGTTGGTTCCAGGCATAGTGATTTAGTAGCACAGAGCCCAGGCCTTGGCCTCTAGGTTCCTGTTAAAAATCTCTTTGCTGCCACAAAATCTCTGGCACAAAAACTGTATGTTATTTTATTTCTGAAATTCCCTTTCTTTCTGTCACTTCACTGCTAATAATCACTACTTTTTTGATAAAATGGTCACAATAGCCCTTGCTTTTGCCAACCACCATTCTTCACATCTGGTGAAAGAGGCTGTTAGGTTTTCTTGCACCCTGCAGATGTGACGGTCTTTAGTGGGGCCAGCAGCATTCCTGGCTTTGGTTAATTAAAGATTCCCTGCAACAGTGAGTAATTGAGCAGAACCACTGCTGTGTCTGGAACATGCCAATAAAGAAGAGCATTATTCACAGTGGTGCCAGCGACATTCATGGGTGTTTCCCTACACAAGCACTGGAACTAGTGACAGGCTTCCCCTATTCTGAATTTGCTCTGTTGAATGCTCAGCCAGTACAGTGTGGAAATAGCCTGAAACGCAGACTCAAAATGACCAGAAAACCTCAGTGGATTTACATTTAGAGTGGTCAGCCTATAGTGGGGACATGGTTGGTCGCTGTAAAGCAAATGCAAAACAAAAAAAAACAAACAAACCAAAAACTAGTCTCATCCGGCACAATTTGAGGTATATTGCTTGTTAGACCCAGTATCTTGTAATCATGAAAGTTCCTAAATCCTTTTTATCAAACCTTAAATGTTCTAGCTTTTGAGATGTTAAGTAGACTTAAAAAGATAATTTTCTAGCCGGGCGTGGTGGCGCACGCCTTTAATCCCAGCACTTGGAAAGTAGAGGCAGGCAGATCTCTATGAGTTCAAGGCCAGCCTGGTCTACATAGTGAGTTCCAGGACAGCTGGGGCTACAAGGAGAGACCCTGTCTCAAAAAGACCAAAAAGATTTTTCTTTGGCTGTAAAAATATTAACTAGTTTATAATATAATATTTAAAAATCCTGTTTTATGTGTACTGTCTCCACTTACACTTTGCTTTACAGCTCCTGAATTTAGGTATTCCAAATTCCATTTGCTTTGGCAAACAGAAGCCCATTATCATATAATAATCCAAAGTACCAGATTGCTACTCGGTCTGCTTTTCTGCCTCCCACCTGGACAGTTTTTCAGATGGGAAAACACACATTTCCTGGACCCTGGTTTAAGGGATGTCCTTCCTTTCTGGATGACACATTTTAACCTTCACTGGCTCTTGTTAGGATACTGCTTTTAAGTTTGACTTCAGCTGTGATGGTCAGTTCATTTTGCTCTACAATGATTGCCATGCTCAGAGCAAAGCCTTTTATATTGCTAGAAACGGTTAATAAACACCTGATTTTTTATGTCCAATCATCCTGATTTCTAAAGAGAAAGAGTTCCCTAAATAAAGTACACATTGTCTCAATGCCCTTGAATGGGATTTTATTCCCTATACTCTGAGTTTCTAATGGGTAGGAATGGTATGATACTGAGTTCTAGAAGTCCAGAGAATTAAGTCCTAGGTTTGGCTCATAAAAATATTAGTCAAGTAACCTTGGTTAGATTACTTCATTCTTCTCAACTTCAATTCTGTTTCCTGTAAAATGAAAAACTTGTATCATGAGGACATAATGGTCCTCCATTGCTGATGTGACAGTTTGTGAAGATGGCTTCCTGGCCCTCAAGGAACACTCTCCATCCTCGTAAGCTGGGGCTCGGGATCCCATGGCCTGCATTTGCAATTTGGAAGCAAGCTTTGTGTGTTCAAAGCGCAAGTCTCATGTTCATTACAGAGGATCCAGGTGGCCAAGTATCCCAGTGAAACTGATGAACTCCAGAGGATTTCATTTCTCCTAGTGTCCTCATCTTTCATAAGAAACAAGGGGTATGCCTTGTGTTTTCATATTTTGTGTCTGTTTTCCTAAGAGCCTTCTAATTTGCATGTCTAGCTGTGCTATTAGTTTTCCTTAAGGAGTGTGTCTACATACCAAATGTAGTATTCAAGGAAGAACAGATACTTGTCTGTTCTCAAGAAAGAAAGTACTGAGACATCAGCTTTCCTTCTGGACAGCCATTGTTGATTTAAAAAGATTAATTAGAATAATAAGATATTCTTTTCATCCTTGGTAAGTGGGTATTAGAGAGACGTGAGGAGGACTGTTTCAGTCCCAGTCTGACTGATAGGGAGTCAGAGACTCTGTGGTGCTTTCTTTAACCCTAACAGTGAGAGCCTCTGCTACACAGAGAAGCACTGGAATTTTAAAATGTAAAATGTGTGGAAATAAAAATGGCTTCTTGGACTTACTGATTTCACTCTTCTATGGTCAGCTCCTGTAAAGTGTCCCTAAAACAGACCCCAGCTTATGAAAAATAACTGATGGTGGTGCAAAGCTACATCTGAAATGGTGAGGGTAAGAGTCCTGTGTTCAAAGAGATAAAGGGGAAGCAAAGAGAAGGGGCAGTATTGACATCATCCCTTTCTTAGACTCTAGCCACCTCTGCCAGGCTGACTGCATGAAAATGTCTTCTTTTGTTCTCTGCCAAAAGCAGTTGCAGCTGCAGTTGGAGATACCAGGTGCTGGGGATACCCACACACGGACATAGCTAGGATGGCCCCTGCTAACCTGCAGCTTGCTGATCTCATAGGTGAGCACGGGCTGCACAGCAATGCAGGTGAAAGCGCTGCTGCTTAAACAGAAAGCTGATCTGCTGATAGCAGGGACGGCTTTGGTGTGAAAGAAATGGGACCGATTTTTAAAACAAAGCCACCAGCAGCATTCGTTCTGTAAGGAACCAAGGCAAGTGTTCATTGAATGATAAGGGGCTGTGCCAGAAAGGAAACCGCGACACTGAGCTATAAGAACGGGTCATTTTCCTGGAAAGCGAAGGGGCTGAATGAGCAAGGACGATTCGGCAGCAATTTACAGTAAACAGAACCTAGATGCTACCCATGCATTTTGAGGCATACAGATCCAGAGTGCAGGGTTCCTTAAATCAAAATAGACAAAATACGTTCATGATGCAAGTCATCTTTAAGCCCCAAATGAGAAATTCTTAATAATCAAACAAGACACAGGGCAGGAATCGAGGATCTCTCTTGCAAGCCTAGGTCAGTGTCATGCATTAAGCACCATCCACTAAGCATCAGAGGATCAGATGGAGAAGAGGATGTTGCCGTGAGAAGACAGGACCTCTTAGACATGAACCCACCCCTACCCCACTTATCCTTAAGAAATCACCTAGCAAAGCATTGGGCAAATTATTTCCAGAGCTTCCTCTTTTGGACTTGGTAGAGTTAGCATATCCCTTACAAAACACCTGGGAGGAAAGCTTTTTCTTAAAGCCCAGTAACTGGAAGAATGGAAAGAATTCCACTTTAGAGGAGCTGATGGAACTGTCCCTGAGGTGTTGGATGCTTTGACCTCTAGAGGTGAGGAGGGATGTGGACAGGTGGATAACAAAAGATTTGAAGCCATGTAAATGGAATTACCCCATAATAACCTGCCCTCTTAGATATTTTCATTTTTTAAAATATCTTTCTGCTTGCTTTTCCCTTTAAAGACTGACTTTAGCTTTTATTTTTTCAGCGCTTAACATCACAGGGACTGTCCTTGATAGGTTGCAGAAGTATATCATGAAAAAGTTATTTGGCAGGTTTTCCCATTAATATCTTACCTAAGAAAGTGTTTGAAATGTATTCAGACACCTGGTTCCCTGACCGGCTCATCTCTGAGAGGTGCGTCAGCTCCCTGTTCAGCATTCTTTTGAACTGTTTATGAAGAAAAGAAAATGCATTAACCACCTAGAAAAGATCAAACAATCACTTTAAGTATGTCCAGCTTTACTTTCTAGGAACTGAGAGACTACATGGGCAGATAATAACATCACATTAATGAAACTTATTCAACAAAACATAATGCCCCCTTAAAATCTGAAATTACTAAAGTGTCATTATAGGAAAAAAGGATGATCTTAAAATTTCTTAGAACTGGCATCTGATTTCTTTTGACGATGTAAACACTAGAAAAGGAATTTTAATAAGGATCAAAATAGTTTCACTTGAGAATGCACTTTTTAAAATGACAACATTGAAAATGAACTAAAATAAATAGTTTGAGTTGATAACCTATTTAAAGAGAACAGATTAAGTGAAAAGTTTAAGGGAAAATGAAAGTAAGAAAAAGCATCCTTTAAAGACAGAGTTGAGAAAAACCAGGATTAAAATATATCACACTATATTTAAATACAATGCAATCAATACAACATGTCCTAAAGTCATTTTAAGAAGCCCAGTGGACTAAATTAAACAGCTACTGATGCTTTCTACTTCACAGAAAACAGATGGATGGGAATGTTTCATAGCCTGTCAAAGACACTTAATAAGTCAAATTGACCCACCTTAATGTAACCCCAAGATACAGATAACAAATAGTTTGCCTCAGGCATTTTGAATGCTCCTCTTGCCACAATCCACAAATCCTTTTGAAAGAATTCAGTTCTGTGAGAGTAATCCCAAAAGGATCAGAAAAGCCCTGCAGATCCAGCGGTAAAATAATCAAAATTTAGAGAAAACAAAGTCTTTGCACTTCATTCTTGCAAGAAGCCTATGAGCTCTCTGCTTATTTCCAGGTAGAAGAGAGAAAGGAAATCGAGAATTGCACGAAGGAGCAACAGCCTGTCCAAATGCATTCAGCTGCCTGGTTTGAAGCTCTCCATCAGTTCCGAATAGTCCTGGTGCCCAGAGGGGTTTCCACCCTGGATCAGTGCTACTCAGCTGAACTCTGCAAAGGAAGCAGCAATTCTCTTTTCCTGGGAGCTGTCTGACTGGGGAACAGCCATCTTTTAAAAAAGGAGAAGATTAAAATGGAGGAAGCCCATGAATATTTAAGTAAACCTGAAGTCCTACCCTCCCCCCAGGTTTCAGCTAGGTGTTCTTTAACCCTTTCCAGCTCTGCAGGCAGTCCTCTGCAGATGCAGCCTTCACAGTGCTCTCAGCTACTCTAATTGCTTCCAAGTGATGGTACGTTTGATTCATTTATTCTCTGAGCATTTTTTTTTTTCTTAAATTGAAAAAGATTAGAACTATAGATGTTTCACACTAGGCTTCCAGTATATGAAAATCTCTTTTGAACTAGCTCTTGGGAGCATTGTTTGTCCACTGACTGTGTGCAGATGCATCTAGCCTGCTTTCCCAGTGGAATGAATAATGGGGATGGAATTAATTTCACTTGAAAAGTACTCCATATGCAATGGGCAATTTTCTGTCCTCAGCTTATTAATATGCATATGAGATCATATTCAATAAATGGATTAAATTCATTTTAACCTTTCCACCCAGGACCTAGACTGTGTTAGGAAATATGAGACCATGTTTGCTGAATGAACTATGATGAATGATTTTGGGTTATGAGTGACTATGCTTTTTTGGTATTTTAGTGTTACATCTTCTAATTCATGCTAGGAAGTTTTATAGGAGTTAAATTATTTTAGTCTCATTTTATCAACCTAGGACATGTTAAAAACCACCCTTCTTTTCCTATAGGCTCTCCTGCCAGCCCCTTATCCTCCTTAGCATCACAGCACACCAAGACAGTGAGATGCCCTGCGCACGCTGGTCTCATTCATCTCCTCCCTCCCCTACATCTCTATCCCTAGCCTTCCAGGAGTGCATGTATAGCATACTGAAAGACCAGCAAAGCACCATGGCAACAGCCTGAACTTGTAATTGGCTCCCTTTCCAGTGAGGTATTCCCCTTCCAAACGAGCATCCTGTATCTGACAGCAGCGCCACTTAAGGCATCCAAGGCTCAAGTCAGACCACTGTTTGTGCCTCAGAGAGCTGCTTTTTGAGGTGAAGCCAGACCAGATCCAAGACACTCACTGCCTATTGGCTCAGTGTACCACATGCTGTCCTCTATGAGACAGAGCCACCCTCTTTCTGGGTAACCCTGCTTGCGTATATGTGTGTTTTCACATGTAACCAGGCATCTTTGAGTCAATCGTCTCTGCTTGTAGACTTTACTTATTGAACGTCAGTGCGATTTTGAACTCTAGGTAAATTGAATAAATTCCAAGTTACTTGTTTTTTAGGTAATAAACACTCCATGACATTGACTGCTCATCTTCAGGCACAAGACCAGAATAGGACGCTAAAAAGGAAGAGTTTATATGTTCTGATCGGTCTGCTGAACTTTAGCAAAGAAGCAAACTTTACATGAACTGTAGTGAAAATAGTTTATATGAAAGTTTGAGACAGAAGATTTTCTGCAAATTTTTCCTGCATCAGATTTGGCCAAATAAAATAGTCAAGCAATTATTCTCGTTTTGGCTCCTTTAGTATTGCTGAAATATTTGCAGGTATTTTGGACTCCACTGGTCTTTTATAAGCTCTACAATGCCATTCTGTCATGTATTCCACAAACACTGACTGAATACCTAAAATGGCCAGGCAGAGCCGTGAAGAAAAAAAGCAAGCAAATGAACAAACAGAAGCTTTGTGTGGTTCTAATCAGCTTTCATTCTAGTAGAAGAGCCAGACCTGCTGGGTCACACTGGTTGACCACTATAGCTAACAGTCTGAAGAGGGTGAGAAGGAATCTTTATTTGCTATGCTGGCTGCTCTGCTCAGGAGATAAGAACAGGTAGAAAATGAATCACGTAGAGCAAGACCTTGCTCCTCTCCCTTCAGCTTCCCTCTGCCACGGGACCCAGTTGGAATACGTGGCCCATCAGTGTCCGTGTGGTAGAAGGTGGTGGCTCTCAGCCGTGAGGCTGAATAAACCACACACGGCTGCATCTTTACAGAAGGGGTCAGTGTACTCATGCAAGTAAGCAGAGACTTATCACCCCCTACTCCCCATGCCTAAACTAATTCTCCTATGAGCCTTTTACTAAGGGCAGGGCAATGTCTGCCAAAAACAAAGTCATTGTAAGGTAACCATAAAACACATTACACGATGGCTTACACAAATAGAGATCTTCCAGGCTTAGAAAACGACCCAGGCCTTTAAATGTTGCTTAGCAACCACCATTGGTTTTCCTCAGTAAGGGAGGGCCCTACCACACTGACTAAAGCAATCATTGCTCTCAAAAAACACTTTCGAAGGGCCCACTTGTGTTGAGCTCCGGAAGACTAAGGAAGGCAGATGTGACCTTCTAGTAAGGCCCTGTGACTGGACATGCCAAGGGCTAGGATTGGTAGATGTTGAGGCAACAGCTGAGAAGGCAGTTGGGAAGTGAAGGGCTGGGTTCTCAATGTCTGGGTCCCATATGAGAGTTGCTTCTGGTGAGCTACAGGCAGCCATGACACAGCAGGCGAGCCTCAGCTTTCACGCTCAGTTCTTTTTAACCTGCCTCACCTCTCTTCTGTGAAACAAGGATGATGCCCAAGTATAGACTCTGACCCCACCTCTCAGCCTAACGTGTCACGACTGTGTGATAAATTCTGTGGCTGCTTCCCTCAGCCTGGACACAGTATTTACTAGCAACCCGCACTTCCCAGAAGATGAAACTCCCTCCTCACTACTGAATCGAACAGAAAAAATAAAAAGTGTTTCTATCTGTAAGAACAAGTCACCAGGGGCTGGAGAGATGGCTCAGTGGTTAAGAGCACTGACTACTCTTGTAGAGGACCTGGCTTCAATTCCCAGCACCCACATAGTGGGTAACAACCTTCTATAACTCCAGTTCCAGAGGATCTGACACCATCTTCTGACCTCCAAGGGCACTGTATGACATGAGTGCACTTACATAAATACAGGCAATACACGCATACACGTAAAATAATAAATAAAATATTAAAAAAGAATAAGTCACCAACTAAGAAGAGAGAGATTCGTCACCTCAGAGTTTCATAGCCTGAGCCTCTTGGAGCCTCCCTGTCTACTTACCCTGTTAGCTGTTTCAACCAGTTAGCAGTTTCAGTAAGAACGTAAAATGGTTCCTGGGTGAAACTATGGGCCAAGGAGTTTCAGGATAAAAAGGGAATGGATATTATTTACTTCACCCAATGCAGCAGAGAATCCACAGGCCGGAATGTGCTATTTCAAAGATAAATGAGTTCCCATGTCTTTGGTATACAGTACACAGATCCTTTTTTTAAAATGATCTGCCCTCACAAGAAAGTCCTGTTAGAATCTACCTAGAAATAATGTCCCCAGAGGAAACGCCAAAGCTCCTTTTCAACACAAACTTTGTGAACGAACCCTTATAACACGAACTTTCCCAACACCTCTCCAAGCTGCATCTAACACTAGATCTGCAAACACTGCTAAGAAACGGCCGTTGTTTTTTTAAAAAGGAAAGAAGCTACTATTTCTATAAATGACTTAGTACTGTTTTTCTGGAATATTCTTACTCTGAAAAATCATCTGTGATTTTTCTAGTGGGGTTCTTTTATTTTATGTTCTCAGTACTACACACTGTGAGTCTGTGTGTAACACTCTTCTCTCTGTACCCCAAATTCAGGACAAGCTTCCTTTAATTGTGAGAAGTACTTTAAAATATTTGAAATTGAGTGTTGTTGGGTGACTTCAGTTTTTCTTTAGTTTCAATACTACAGCCAGAGATCAGTTTTCTGAGCTGATTTCCTTTGAGGTGATAGAACACTTCATCGCTCTCTATTCCTCCTAAAGGATCCTAGCTTAAGGTTTGCACAAATATCAACAGGTACACTATCTGGAGTTCTTAGAAGTATCACACAAAAAGGGTGGACTGGAAGGATCTTAGCATCTTCACAAATCTAAAATTTGGTAATTTTATGTTTCTCAG